CTGCTTGGCTGATAATGGCCACTATTGAACAAAATTGCTGAAGCAACTGATGAGCTTGATGATACACTTTTATGATATTAATTTCTTAATATAAGGTAGTTAATGCATGAGATAAGACATATTCCTCCATCTTGTTATCTGTCATATAACCTGTAAAAAGTATATAAGCACAGACAACAACTAGGCAAGTTAAGTAGGAAGCTATTAAAGTGACCAGTGAAATAGGTTGCCTTACCTAGACTTTGAACACACTCTTCAGTTTTCAGTCTTTCTATTAAAATATAACAATAATGAGAGCCTATCTATAAGAATTTAGATGAAGACATGGATTTACCTGGAATCACTGTTATCTTTTCCAGTTTCCTGAATATCTAACAGATCTTCAAAAAAAGATCTCTACCTTGAGATTGTATTACTAGGGAAAGAAAATGCCTCAACCCTTGCTAACATTAATGTAGAAGAGATTTCTCTTTCTGTGAAAGTAAAGAGATTTCTCTTTGCACGGACTATACAGGAAACCTAAGCATATTTAAGAGGACTGTTCCATTTGGTATCTAAGAACTTGTTAGGTGCTTAAATCAGGCTGACTCATTCCCTATTACAGTGAGCACAGGGAAAGGAATGCAGCAAAATAGTATGTCCTTGAGCACTGAAATGTACATACTTTGAGATATGGTTTTTGATTCCTTTTTCCTCTATTTCTTTCCTTTATTTTTTTTTTTTTTTTTTTTTTTTTTGTCTTCTCATCCCCATACAATCATGGCTGCAAGCATGTGGTGCCCAAACTGCTTTGCTTAGCCCTGTAAAAAAACATTTGATGTTTAAGGAATATGAAGTTTAAGCAACTTCACACTTCACAAAGTAAGTCCAAAGTGTATCAAGCATTCAGAAGCTGCTGTTGCAGGCAATGATTATACAATCTACTAATTTTCCTTCTTTCAGGATTTAAAGGGGATTCATAGGTTTTCTGTAAATATCTTCTTAAGTATTGAGGAAGTGTAAGTAATTCAGTGAATGTTGGTTATTTGTTTWGGCTTCTTAAGAGGAAATTGTTTTTTGAGTAATTATAAAGTAAAAATCAATGCAAGTCTGATGACTTCAGAGGAAGCACTTTGGGTCAACAGTTAAATACTGAAATGTTCTGTGTGCCGTGAGAGCAGGAAGAACTTCAGAAGTTAAGTACTTCACTATGATCTAGATAAGGGAATAATTTGACCCTATTGCTTTAGCATGCTGTATATCTTCAGGTAAAATGAGTGGAAAATCTTAAAATAGGAGGTGGAAGATCAGAGGTTAAAGTTGTGATGCAATAAAAGTCACAGTCTTATGGTTTGCCATTTAAGTTTAGAAGTTTCTGTAAGTTAAGGCTGAAATGATCTAATACACACTGCTATATTTGGGTAAATTATGATGATATGAATTCCAAAATATGTGCATCAGCGCTATAGCTGAGTTACTTGAGGAGGAAAGTAAGCTATGAGAAATACAAACAGCTTTGAGTTAATGGACACCATATACAAGTCAATCATTTTAATGCTATGTTGTTTGAAGCTGTGTCTCTGCTAACATTTCAGAGAAGATTGAAGCTAATGATGTTTAAAGATAGCCCTAGGTTCTGGCAGGGCTGGGAGCAAACATTACTTTATTACAGTCAAAAAGAAACAAAATAATAGCATGTCAATACTCCAAGCAGTTGGCAAATTTGGATTTTTTTGCATCCTTGAGATTTTCACCCTTCTAGCTCTCTATTCCCTGGCTCTCTGACCTTAGGACCAAGAAGGAGTTTTACAAGTTGTGGCAAAAGTTGTCAAAATGCAACTGTATTTCTTGTAATAAATGCTTGTTTTTGTGTATGACAGACCAAAAGTTCAATCCAAATGCCAAAAAGTCCTGGCCTCGGTATGCATTTTTAAATCTTCCCAGGATTGCTTAAGAAGCATTGACTATAGTTGCAATTTAGACAGCAGGAAAAGTGCACACAGGTATCCGCTTGTGTGTATGTATGTACATCTTTTCTACATAATATGTAAATAAAAGAGAAGATAAATCTAAGGCTAAAATATCAGTGAGGCTTGGGGGCTGGAGGTGCATCTTGTTTTCCCCACTATAGGAGTTAGAAAGCAAAATGGGTTTCATGTCCCCGTCCATACTGACCAGGAATAAGAAAGTGATCTAGACACATGGGTTTTCTCAGGGCATTCCACACTGTTCATCCTGGAGGTGACAGATGACTCAGATGCACTGAAAGCATTACAAGAATCCCAGTGGAGTGGTGTAGAAATAGCCAGTTTTCTGAGAAGGCATATGTGGAGGTTGTGGTTAATGCCCTGACACCAGGCAGAGTACACATTTCTTGTGCTTGTTGGCCTCTCTGAATGTTTCCCAACTGTACCTGCAGTAAATATTCAGCTGAGTTCTTACTAATTTCAAACACATACTYTTCTGTATGCCTGTGCACACTACATGACGGCATTACTTTTCATTTGTGCTTCTCAATAAGAAAGAGGAAATCAAGAGAGAACTTGTTCAGTGTCAGCTTAGGTAAAAGCCTTTGGTTGTAAACTTCCCTAGTTTATAGGGAGGATGGTGAAGAATGCTAATAATGCTCGCATGTAGCTGCGAGTATGGATGGACTAGCTGAGAAATCTCTGTGCTAAAATAGTCTCCACTGTCCTTCACCATTGCTGCACAGCCAAGAGTGCACATTTGTATGCATGGGAAGGAGGAAAGAAATTTTTTGGCTGACTCCACATACCTTCTGACTCCACATACCTTCTCAGAATCTGTTATTGCAGGTCAGAGAAGATTTTCCTGAGAGAGGCGTGATTACACACCTGAAGGATGTTTCTGCATCTGGACTTTACACCACAGTTTGCCATCTCCCAGAGTAATTCTCTTATTCAGCTTATTAGTACCCTGTTGCCCTATGCGTCCGAACACATGGCAGCTCTTATACCTGGAAGCACTCCTGTTGGAAGAACATGAGTTGTCTTACACGTAGAATAGCTGATGTTCCAAGTGTATCCCTTAGAGGGAGAAAAAAAAATACCCATTTTTAGAGCTACAAAATATCATTTATTTTCAAATTAATTTCATTTTATTTTCTTTTTTTTTCCCCCTTGAGCTTACACATTTTTTCTGTGCATTCCATTTTTTCCTTCAATTCTTTCCCACCAAAACTCTAAATATTATTTCATTCYAACACTGTTCTCACATCCTTTACTTGTTTCTTATTAACTTTTCTTCTTTGTTATTTGTGATTTTTCCACCTGGTCGTTCTCTTGCCATAAGGCTTCTTTCAGGTATCTTTTTGCCCTTCCACTGGCTTCAGACAACATTTTTAGCTAAAATTCCTCTTCAAGGAGCAAGATTCAAACTTCTAGCTGGTTGCTCATAGCATGACAAAAGAAGTACCACTGTGCAACTATTTCCAAAGAGTTGAAAAACTGGAATGATTTTCTTTTGAAAATCTGATTTTCATGGATACAGTGAWGAGCTGCTCTCAGTGTGCTTTTTAAATTGCTGTGCTGAGTTTACTGATAAAAATATCACATCCTTTCCTAACAGCACTACAAGTAGTCTGTAACGACCAAGCAGTCCTGTCTTGTCATTAYGCCAATCTGTACTGTAGAATTGCTAGATGAGCTCTTATGTGTGAATCTGAATAGTGAGCAGAGATGCACAAATAAATCACCTCATTTTCAACATGAGCTGATAACGCTAGCAAGTGCCTTTTGTATACTATGCATATTGTGTTGAAGTAATGACTTTCAGATTGAAAAAGCTAGAAATGGGATACAGTGACATTGTGTTTGTTGAGTTACTGCCCCAACTACTTGACATAACAGTGAATAGACTGAAAAAGCATGTGAGTCCTTAAGCTAAGTTAAAATTGAGAAATAAAAGAGAAATGCTTTAAGTTACATATAAGGAATGAAAATTATTGTGGATTGAACAATCAGATGAGTATATGATGACTAAGGAGATAAATTTCCCTGTAAATCTAGAGATATATCAGACTAACTAGCCTGGATCAATACTTATGTCTTTTTCTAGCTGATTTAGAGTGAATTTGTAGGTTATCAATTTGTGGCTCAGAGGTGATTGTAAGTAGTGCTACTAGTACCACTTTACTGATTGACATTGACTAATTACATTCATATGGCTTCMTCATCCCAGTCTAATAAGCTATCTTGATATGGAAAAGATTTTGGATGCCTCAGATTGTAAAACACAGAAACAAGCTTTAAATGAAAGAACTTTCAGTTCTTTGTTATAAAATACAGAAATACACCAAAAACCTGAAAATACAGACACACCTTAGAATAGGATTTAAAAATTCTCKCCTAATTTGTCCTCTGTTGGAGCGCTGTGCTACTACTTCCCCATTTTCTTGAAGAACAAGTTGGTATGGATGCACATGTGAGTGTTCAGCAGAGCATTAGGACCTTAGGCTCCTAACAGTGGGTAAATTTATTTTTCTATGCAATCATGCCTCAGAACAGCTCCTTAAGAACTTTCCTTTCACATTTATTTTCCCATTTTATTTTATAACTCTAGCTTCTCTGCTTTTAGTCACAATTTCCTTGTGAGAATCACAGTTATTTCTTCATGATTCTGTCATCTTTTTAAAGCTTAGGTAAACCACTCGGAGGATAGGAAACAATTCCATCTTGCTTAGAACTGGCAGTTCAAGGGACCTGATACGAACATTTATATGAGACTATTCTTTGTGTGACTAATCYTTTGCTCTAACAAATTGTTGCCTGTGGGCTGTTTACATACCAACAGGTTTTATAAAATATCTCACTCTGTTTACAACAATATATTAATTGGAAAGAGGCTGTGTTAATTAACTGAACTGTTATTTTTAAAGTGTTTCYGTCAATCTACCCGGAAGCTAAGATCTGTAAGGGTAATAAGTAGTAAACTTGCAGTTTAATATTCTGTAGCTGTTGTTCGATTAAGAGGCCTGTAAACATTTCTCCTTTGTCTTACAGGTGCCGCCAATCCTTCTGGACAAGCAGTTCTCTGAATTTACACCAGATATCACTCCCATTATTCTGGCTGCCCACACAAACAACTATGAAATCATCAAGCTCCTTGTGCAGAAAGGGGTCTCCGTGCCCCGGCCCCACGAGGTCCGCTGCAACTGCGTCGAATGTGTCTCAAGTTCAGATGTGGACAGCCTCCGCCACTCTCGATCCAGGCTCAATATCTATAAGGCCCTGGCAAGCCCATCCCTGATTGCTTTGTCCAGCGAGGATCCTTTCCTTACTGCTTTCCAGCTGAGCTGGGAGCTGCAGGAACTGAGTAAAGTGGAAAATGAATTTAAGTCGGAGTATGAGGAACTGTCGCGGCAATGCAAGCAATTTGCAAAAGATCTTCTGGATCAGACACGGAGTTCCAGGGAATTGGAAATTATTCTTAATTACAGAGATGATAATAGCTTGATAGAAGAACAAAGTGGTAATGATCTTGCAAGATTGAAACTGGCAATTAAGTACCGTCAAAAAGAGGTGAGTGTGTTGGAGAATATTTAAGCATATTTAGTAGTAGTAATGTGATAGATAATAGCCTGAAAGGCATCCTTTTAAATGAGACAAATTGCTGCTTATCTTTTTTTGTTCTACAGGGTATCTTCTTTTTTTTTTTATATTTCTAATTAGGCAAATTTGTGAAGCTCTTATGGTTTAATAATATCAAAATTTGAAATGCTCTATTATAGCACAAATCCAAAGAGATTTTTTTTTTTTTTTTTTGCACCTGAACAGGCACTCTCTCCAGTAGTTTCACACTGAGCTCCTTTGTGCTCAATGGGATTTGAGCACAAGGATCAGAAATCTACACAGAACTTTAAGACAGTATTATATATAAATTGCATCTGACAGGAAAAAGAGGCTACATGTTTACATTTCTGTAAAACAGTATGTTTTTTCAGAAAGTAGATATTATTCTAAGGAGATACTAAAATATAAGAATAATAGCAATGTGTGACCCCCCCGAAACTTTGACAATCAGCTTGGTTATCCATATGGGTTCCAAATGGAAATACCTATCTATCAATTGTGAAGATAGTTAAAAAATCTTGAGTTTGCTAAACAGCTAGAGATGTTCAACGGGAATCAGAAGATGACTGCATGACTTTTAAACATATTGAAGTTCCCATATGCATGCAGAAAAGAAGGCATTTAGACAGAAAGAYTTTAGGTTTAGGAAAATAGTTTCATGGTATGTTAGGTTTTTCAGAGACTTCCTCAGAAAAAAATGCTGTATTCTAAAATATTCATGCATTGAAATTAAGTACTGACTTGTCATGATTTTTTGAAAAGAAGGATAAAAAGTTCGAGTTTCTTAATTTGAGAATCAGAAAGTGAGAGACATCTGCAAGGAGAAGTGTTTTTTATAATGCCATCTGATTCCTAGGCCTAATTAAATTGCAATAATACAGATGATGACACTTTAATAGAGTCTTTGCAATGGCAAACATTAAAGCTATACTGATTCTCAATGCAACAATTTCAGATCARTGGATCTCTTATATTTTACATGTATTTTTCATTTGTATAAATATTTCCCACTGACTGACTGAAAAGTCTCACTGAAGTAAAATGAAGAATTAGATTCCTTTGTTCTGCTCCTAATATATTTGCCTACAGGATGCTGACTTACAGATTCACAGATTCACAGAATATTTAAGGTTGGAAGGGACCTCTACAGATCATCTAGTCCAACCTTCCTGCTCAAGCAGGCAMACCTACAGCATGTGACACAGGGTGGCATCCAGGCGGGTTTTGAAGACCTCCAGAGTAGGAGACTCCACAACCTCCCTGGGCAGCCTGTTCCACTGCTCTGTCACCCTAAATGGTACCCACTTAAATGGTACCCAYATCAATAAACCAGTTAATTTCTGATCATTACAATAGCACTCAGGTAGATCCAGCTCAGAAGACCAAGAAACTTGTATTGAATGGCAGCAAAACACACTCATGCTCTCACACACTCATCTCACAAGCACCCTCCCAGCCCCATATCCCTCAGATATCAGCAGCTAAGGAAGAAGCTTTTTTCCCCCAAAGTAAAATATATATCTAAATTGTATTAGTTGTTCCCCACAGCCAAAGGTGCTTGTCTTCTGCATTTCTATTCTTTTCACACCTGTCACCAGACCATGATCATCTCATTCATACACTGTCAAGAGGCCTCCCAGCGGTATCGCTTCCCAGCACGTGGAGTCATGTCAGGGGGGACCTGCCATGTATTACTAGGGAAGGCACCTCACTGATGAAACTCAGCTCTCTTCTTTCATTAATAAATAACAAGGTTGAGAGACATTTGCAGTTTGAAGTCTACACTGCAGAACAAGGGCTGGCAAGACTGTGAAGAATATGTGTTCTGAGCCGGCTGACACAACCAGAGAGTATGTGTCAGTGTGCATTTCATTTGTGCTTATCTGCAACTTTATTTTAGCAGAGCATATGGGCTGGAACACCCAGGGATTTTTTTTTTTTTTTCCTTTTTCTTTTTCCTGTTTGTTTTGCACCACTGATGCTATTCGATTATGGCTGAAGACATGTTGCTGGTGCCCGTGGTGCCTGTTTCTAACACCTACTGTTGCTAGGTTACAATTAGCAGCAGGCAGGAGAGGCTCTCTGAAGCTGTACAACACGGTGCTCTGCGCAGAAACATTTCATTGTCTCATTCTCTGTTGTATTGTATTCTCACAGCTAAGGGAGAATTTCATTTAAAAGGCTTATACATCTCTTGTCATTTAGAGTTGCATTGTGCTAGGTTCTTGGCATGTGGTGGGCAATGATAAATAGCTTTCTGTTTTCCAGAATCAAATAAAAATTGTTATTCACGTCCAGTTTAATTCAAGGATGTAGAAGGAAATCCCCAATTCTGTATATAATTTAAAAGAGAAAGTTAATTTGCATAATATAATCCTCATACATCATTCTGAGTTCAGGAAAATTGGAGAACCTTAGGACAGCAATGCAGTTCAGAGTATGATAAAAGTCCTTAACAAGTAGCAGTCCATCATTGTTCTTTGCTACTAGTTGAAAAATGCATGCTCACTATCATACATTTTGAAAGCTTCTAGTAGAGAAACTGCAAGAGAACCAAAGTGTCTCTTACCTCTCACATAGCTTTGCTGTAGATTTGCTTTACCWTTCTGCCTCTGTTTAGGGATTACACATGGGGAAAAGTGCTTGCTGAACTGTGTGATTATATTTTGACTACAAATACAAAAAACAAGAGTGATGGGGTTAAAAGAGTGAATAAATATTGTCTGTTTTCACAGTAAATTTGTTAGTGTGTTTTAAATGCTTCTAATATTAATTTATATCGCTGTCATATTTTACTCCATGCTTTAGTAATTTCAGCTCTAGTGACCTCATACACTGTATRTTATATTGCAGGATGTGGTCCTGTGTCATTACCAGTAGGACTATCTTATTTTGCTTTGTTGTTAGACAGTCTCATATCAGCACTGCAGAAATACGAAATTTTGAATACAACAATGAACCTTTTATTTTTTCACTTTTCATATGAATAGACTAGCTGTCATTTCAGTTATTTATTTTTCCCATTCTTATTCTACTGCAACCATCTTTTACTCCCGTAGGTATGTACAAGACCAAAATACTTCCCTTGATCTTATCTCATAGAACAGCAGTTTTGAAATAAAAAAAATAATTTTAGGCTACTCACTATGAGTGAGAAAACCTCAGTATCCTAGTAAGAAGACCAAGTGAGAAATCAAAAGCAACAGCCTCAGCTGAAGGCAGAGCTAGCATCTGGGAGTTTAGGAAACAGTAACAAGAAACAGCAACAGACTTTTTGAAGATTTGGAAGATAAACASAGTTCAGATTTTAAAAGCTAGAAGAAGTAAATGGCCTTTAAGGCGGGCTTTCAAGCCATTAACAACATAAAAAGAGAGAATCCTAAACAAAGTCCTCAGAGCTTTCCTGACGACTTTACAGTAAATATTATGTCTTACAGGAAAATTCTTTTTTTTTTTTTTTTTTCCAAGAGAACGTTTCAAGAGAAACACTAATTTATGCTGATGTTAATAAAACTGTTTATGAAGGGGCTGAGTAATGAGGTCTCTATGGACACAAGCAGGTCACAAGTCTTGGGGTCCTAAGCTCCCACTCAGCTTGTAAAAAAAAAAAAAAAAAAAAAAAAAAGAGATTTATTTTGGAAAAATAATAGATCAGGTTTCCGAACCCCTAGAAAGAAAGTCAAAATAGCATATTGTATTTTGATAAGCAGATTTTATTTTGGTGGTGTAATATTTTGGAGGACTGCCCTCAATTTTGCAGTTTTATCATCAAGCTTGCTGGGGATGAAGCAGACCTACTGTTTGACTGAATAGTGTGCAATCATATAAACTGCTGGGGARTTTGCAGTGCATGTCTGAGGTAATTCTGTTAACATCCTTTTTTGTCCATCTACTAACAGTGAATTTTAACAGTTTTATTCTAACTAGCGTTTSAGATGGATTCAGAGGAAATGCTTATGGAATATAAGAATCATTTCTGTTTGTCAATCATCYTGAGGTGTCTACCTCCATCTAAAAAGAGAGTTGAAGTACTTCATTATCAACAGAATGCAAAGTATATGAAAATCTGCACATTTCAGTGTGATACTCTTGAAACGGCTTAATGTCTAATTTTCTTCTGCCRTCTTTAAAACTAAGGCAAATGCAGGAATTATGCAACACTCATGCATGATTATGGCATGATTGTGTTTCATATTTAGGTGTTAACAAGGAAGCCATCACTAAATTTGCTAAACATTACATTTAGAATGGAATTGTTTTTCTGGTCTAGCCTTTTTTTTATGAAGGTTTCTTTCAAAACAACAAATAATGTTAAATTTTAACATCTCTTTCCAGTTAATTTCCCTAGAGCTGAARTGTCAATGTTTATCAATAAAATCATCTGCCTAACTACCTAGAAAACTCCCCGAAATGACTCTTGCTACCTTCTAAAATTTAAGGCAGGCCCTGGCGTCACTTATTTTTTTCTTATTCATTAGTACTGCAGATCCTGAAGGGTATAAAGAGAGAAAGAGAGGGTTTTAAAATCTGAAAACAGGTAAAGACATTCAGTTTTAATAAGAGAACAGGTGGTACTAATGAGAGAGACTTCAAGGAAAACAGCTTAAAAGTCACTTGCTCACTTATTCTCAGGCAGGCAAGAAGTGAGATGATAGAATCCACAACCAAAGATGCCCCACTGAACAAATAAACATATTTCATAGATCATTTTTAACACAATGTTGTGTGCGTCCACATTGCAAATCAAAGATTACTGATGCAAAAAAACCCACTGAATTATTAATTGGTTAACTAAATCCTAGATACAATAATAATTCATARTAATAATGAATTCATAATTAAATAATATAAATTCAATAATAATGAATTCCTACTTAATAAATATTTTCTTGTTATAAAAATAAATGAGATGAAGAGTAAAGATTTAGATTTGTCACTAATTATAAAAG